AAGTGTTATGTCTATATTGTACAATTATTTTTACTTTGAAGTCGGTGTCAGTCAATGTAGATTCATTACTTAATTGTTACTATACTTTCACTTGTCAATTGTTATGGTAAAAATATGGAAACGCTTACGTAGAAATATCACTGCATACCTTGGCTGACACCGACATCAAAGTAAAAATAATTGTACAATATAGACATAACACTTACAATAAGGTAGGTTTACTATTTTCAAGGAATTATTTCGTTACTTTTTAGTGTACTGTTTTTTTTAGAATATTTTGTTTTTGGTGTATTTTGTTTTGTTTTTAGTGCATTTTGTTTTGTTTTTCGTGTATTTTGTTTGTTAATTACACGCCGAAGATGTCTCGAGTAATATTGTATAATAAATATTCCAAACAAGGAACTGAAAGTCCTACTTGACATCTTAATATTTCCAATTCCTTTCTCGAAAGTTCTTACCCGAACTTCACGGAATGTTGTCTCTGGGGATATTACTAAGACTTAGAATTTCAAGAATAGAGATATTTTCTTCTTAAAGGCCAACTTGCATTTCCCCAGAGATAATGATTGTCCACTAAGTATGATTTTAGTTTTATCTTTAACTAGCTGTTCCCATGCGACTTCATCCGCATAAAATTAAAAAAAAATCAATTTATTGTTCACATTTGTCAAATTATCAATTACAAATGTCAAAATGACATGACATGATGACAAACCATGGCAATCTTGCTTCCTTGATGTTGGCAACAACTTATGGTCTCTTTCCCACATTAGGGTTTTTATCAATATTATATTTATTAAAAAGAGCATTATTCAAAAACATGCTGTAATTGCTGACATCTTGCGCAACAAAAAAGTGTGTGTTTACGCTTTATTATTAACAGATTGTAATGTTTCTGGCCCAGTGGACTGTAAGGTTTGAGGTCCCGAGTTCAATATCTGATAAGTAAACCCTAAAATCGTCTAATAGAGCGCCCTGGGCGAGATTTTTATGGCACCCTCAATGGGTGGAGGGGTCAAGTATATGAGTGTATTTCGCAGATCTTTGTGGCACCTTTCTGTCTGGTATCCTAGGCAGTAAGGCCGCTCAACCGCTCTCTACATTAAAGCCCGCATTGCAAACTTTAAAAAACATACTTCTTACATTAGTAAATAAAATAAATTAATAGATTAATTATAAATGCGAAAGTTTAGATGGATGGATGTTTGTTAGAGTTTGTAACCTAATCGGCTGAAAGGATTCCGATTTAATTTGGTATAGATGTAGAGGATAGTCTGGAAGAATAAATAGGCTACTCACTTTTTTTTTATTCTACACGGTGAAAGCTAGTCATTTTAATAATTCCTATTTTATTTATGCTTTTTAAGTATCTGAAATTTACACGAAGAAAAGCGGCTCACATGAAAATGTTTTATGACTTTTATGGATCATGAAATACATGCGTCCGTAATAAACGTCTCCTCAGACCACGACTTATCGAAAGTCAGCGATTTTTACTGCAAATATTAAAAAGTAAAATACTAGTCATAGATAATAAAATTTTCTTTATCATAAAATAACTATAAATTTCTGATTGAAAATAAATAATATGACTCGTGTGTCCTGTTTCTAATATATTATTTGAAGATAACACGAAAATATCTGAACATATCGGAAGTTGCGCTATCTTTTAGTTAAATAAATATCCTGTTTTTGAGGTAAATTTCTAATTTATTTTACCACTAGCTTTTGCCCGCGACTCCGTCCGCGTTAAATTTAAGATTAACTACAAAGAAATGAAAAAATATAGCCCATGTTAATCACAGAAAAATTGGAAGAATGTTTTAAAACGGCCCAGTAGTTTTTGAGCCTATTCATTACAATCAAAGTTTTCCTCTTTATAATATTAATATAGATTACACAAGAACAAATATATATGTATTTATTTGTACATCATATTTGAACACAAGCTTGCGCCTGCGACTCCGTCCCTGTTGAATTAAAAAAAAGAAAAGCAAGTAGCATACGTGTTCTTTCAGACTGTCCTCTACATCTACCACATTTCATTGCTATCCATTTCGCGGTTTTGACTACAAACTCTAACAGACATCCATCCATTTAGACTTTCCTATGTTAGGGAGATTAGTAAGAAGATACAAGCATATCTTCTATATCTTTACTGATATTATAAAGAGGAGAGATTTGTATTTTTGCATTTTTGTATGTATTATATTAACTCAAGAATTACTGACCCGATTTAAAATTCGTGCACAATTAAAAAGCAACATTATCGCTGTATTTTTTTAATTATATTTTAATTTCACGTGAACAATTTCACGAGCGAAAGCTAGTATTGTGATAAAGCAAATAAGCTATACACGTATATAAAGTAATTGAATTAAGCAAAGCTTGCCTGTAAGTAACGATGCTTGATGACGCCGCTTATCACTTAGATTTACTTAACGAAGCTTGACGTTAATTAAGTTATTCTTGATACGTTATTGTTATTAAGATTTATGCAAATAATAGCTTTGTGAATATTGTAGAATAATAAACTTCTTAGATATAAATCATACTAATATTATAAATGCGAAAGTGTAGATGGATGGATGGATGTTTATTAGAGTTTGTAGTCTAAACTGATGAACGGATTTCGATGAAATTTGGCATAGATGTAGAGAATAGTCTGGAAGAACACATAGGCTTGCATTTGTTTTTTTCTTAGTTCCGCGCGGACGGGGTCGTGGGACACAGCTAGAAAGTTAATATTTGTGCATTTAATTGAAGCGCCTTTTAGTAATTTAATGGTCAACTACTGAACTTAGTTTCATATAAAATCTCGCATTAACATGAAATGAGTTAAATTAAATTTTATCGGAACATTTTCGTCTCTATATCGTAGAAAAACTTAATATTAATAAATTGACCATAATCCAAAAAAAAAACCAAGTCTTTTCGGAGGCTAAGACCCACTTCGGGTCGCTGCGCCAACGCAGTAAGTAAGTCATCATAATCCAAAAAAAAAAACGCTTACTAAATGTAATAGTCGTTATGGCAAGGGAGATTTGATCCTTGTTTTTCACATTTTGTTTTTAAAAAATGCTTTCTCACGTCCATTTTAATGACGTATCTCTATGACACTCCGGGGAATCTTAAAGCGGGCGCAAACTTTTGACTAAACTATCGCACAACTGCGCGATTGTCGATTGTTTCGCAGCCAATTCAACTGTTTAGTTTCACAACTAAAAATCGAGTAATGCAACCTCCATATAAGCTCATAAGAATCAAAGCGGGACTAAACAGTCGTGCGATATTTTAGTCAAAGGTGTGTTTCCATTCTAATTCTTCTAAATTGGTTTTGGTTTAGGTTGAATAAACATTTTACTCTATCAGTCGGGTAAAATACATTGGTTCTCAACTAGTACAAAATGGTATACGAAAGTGACGCATAATGTACACAGGTTAATCGGTCTTGTGATAAACGCCTTGTTATACTGTAAAGTGTATTCACGTTATCTCCCGTGTTAGCACGCTCGCTGTAACATTTACCTACTCTACAATATGCCAACAAACTAAAAATCAACATAACTTTACCTGCAAAATTTACAATTTAATGAAGCTACTAAACTTTCTAGTACACTTCCGCACTCAGAATTGTTAATTGGTCACTACTGAATCATTTATCATCTAAACCTACACTAAATGCAACACTTGGCGTTTTAAATTAGACACTAAGAGACTGTTTATTTTATCATTAAGCAATCCTAAGTGTGGCTGACATCCTGTCATCTGTATAATTTTTATTTCTCTAAATACAGATTATTCTTTACTGATAATGTTTTTAACACAAGAAATAATATGGCATTATAGCAAAATATCAAGAGCAAGGTTGCTGTGGATATACTGTTTGTATATAAAATAAACTGATTTGCATTATAAAATACCCGTTACATATTTTTTAGGTTATAAGGAAGATAAATTGCAAAGAGTAAAGCGTTTAAATATGCCGCGAAAATTGTAGCTCGATAAGGTGATTGATGAGTTTACACTACTACCGATGTTTACCCAGTGATACCTACTTAAATATTAAATTTTGGAATACTTGTTAAACATAAAATGTCGCTTTCATACAAAAACAATGTCAATAATTTTTATAAATTATTATATGAAAAGAGGTCGTTATTTTGAGGTTTTTGTGTTTAGGTTTCGCAAATTTATTCAATATTAGCGCCATCTGTTTTTATAAAACAAAAGTTACACAATCAGTTTTTACCAGAAGTGCAACCTGTATAAAATAGATGTCGCTGATTTGTACTTCTAATAAGTTCACGTTTGTTTTGGTTCGGATGATGTGAAATTGCGATATAAAGTAATAATAAATGAAGATAACTCAGTACAGTAGTGTCAGTCACGTAATTGTAAGAATAACGCGTGATCTGGTAAGTTTTCTTAACATTTCAAATAGGTTTAAGAACAAAATACCTCTGATAAATTATACAGCATAGAATACACAGGAATTAATGAAATAGAATTATTCTGCATCTCTTTCTTTCGTACGTACAAAAACCTAAAACATACAATAGTCTACAACAAACCATTTTTGACCGACTTCCCAAAAGAAGGAGGTATTCAATTCGTCGGTATATTTATTTTTTTTTTTTTTATTTTTTTTTTTT